GGTGACACGTGGCCCCACCTGCTCCAGGATGTGGGTGCGCCGGGTGGCCGCCGGGTCCTCGTCCTCATCGGTGGCGGGGACGTCCCCGTCCCTCTCCTTGTCCTTGTCCCTCTCCGGCTCCCGGCGCCCCGGTTCCTCCGGCGTCATGTCGAACAGCTCCCGGATCGTTTGCTGGGGGATGGGGTGGGGTCGGTGCCACGCCCGGCCACCAAGGTCACCCCCCCCAGGATACCTGGGTCCCCTCCTGGCCACCTGGGTCCCCCCAAACTCCAGGATCCCCCCCAAACTCCTTCATCTCTCCTGCCACCATGAAGCTCTTGAGATGTGGCTCCAAGATGGAACCAGATGGTTCCTGGAGACCTGGGTCCCCATGGAGAGGTCCAAGGGTGGACATTTGGGTCCCTTTGGCCACCCATGTCCCCCCTGCACCTCGGGGACCCCTCCTGGCCACCTGGGTCCCCCCAAACTCCAGGATCCCCCCCAAACTCCTTCATCTCTCCTGCCACCATAAAGCTCTTGAGATGCGGCTCCAAGATGGAACCAGAAGGTTCCTGGAGACCTGGGTCCCCATGGAGGGGTCCAAGGGTGTCATCGCCTGGACATCTGGGTCCCCCCTGGCCACCTGGGTCCCCTGCTGGCCACCTGGGTCCCCTCCTACCTGCTTGAAGTAGGCGGTGGTGAAGTTTCCTCCCTCGATGGCCATATCTCCCAACATCCTCTTCTGGTTGGCCTTCTTGAGGATGTTCTCCTCCACCGTCCTCTCGCTGATGAGCCTGAAGAAGGAGACAAAGGGGTGGAGGTGACCACAGAGGATCCAGATCTCCAGGTCAGGACCAAGATCTCCAGGAGAAGACCAAGATCCCCAAGTGGAGACCAAGATCTCCAGGTCCTTGAGGACCCAGATCTCCAGGTAAAGACCAAGGTCTCCAGGAGAAGACCAAGATCCCCAAGTGGAGACCAAGATCTCCAAGACCCAGATCTCCAGGGAAAAGACCAAGGTCTCCAGGAGAAGACCGAGATCCCCAAGTGAAGACCAGGATCTCCAGATCCTTGAGGACCCAAATCTCCAGGAGAAGACCAAGATGAAGACCAAGGTCTCCAGGAGAAGATCAAAATTTCCAGGAGAAGACGCAGATCTCCAAGTGAGGACCAAGATCTCCAAGACCCAAATCTCCAAGAGAAGACCAAAATCTCCAGGAGACCAAGATGCCCAAGTGGAGACCAAGATCTCCAAGACCCAGATCTCCAGGAGAAGCCCAAGATCTCCAAGGCCAAGATGTCCAGAAGCCCCAGAAGTCCCGGAGGTGGCCGTACCGGTAGATGTGGACATCCCGGGTCTGGCCGATGCGGTGGCACCGGTCCTGGGCCTGGGCGTCCATGGTGGGGTTCCAGTCGCTGTCGTAGAAGATGACGGTGTCGGCACCGGCCAGGTTGACGCCGACGCCGCCGCTGCGGGTCGAGAGGATGAAGCAGAAGATGCGCTTGTCGGCGTTGAACCGTTCCATCAGGGCCTGCAGGGGGCAGCACGGAGCCACCAGTGACACGTTAGAGGGGGACATGGGACGGCCGGGGTCCCCTCCTGGCCACCTGGGACCACCCCCCGACCTCCTGGGTCCCCCCAAATTGCTGGAACCTCCACGCCACCATGAAGCTCTTGAGATGTGGCTCCAAGATGGAACCACCAGAAGGTTCCTAGAGATCTGGGCACTCATGGGGACATCACAGGGTGTCACCCCCGTGTCACCTTGGCCACTTCTGTCCCCTCCCATAAATCGCCCCCCCAAACTCTCCAATCCTCCACGCCACCATGAAGCCCTTGAGATGTGGCTCCAAGATGGAACCATCAAAAGGTTCCTGGAGATCTGGGCGCCCATGGGGACATCCCAGGGTGTCACCACCAGGCCACCCATGTCCCCTTGGCCACGTGTCCCCATCACACCCCAGGGTCCCCTTCTGGACACCTGGCGCCCCCCCAGACCCCAACATCCTCCACGTCACCATGAAGCCCTTGAGATGTGGCTCCGAGATGGAACCACCAGAAGGTTCCTGGAGCTCTGGGCACCCATGGGGACATCACAGGGTGTCACCCCCGTGTCACCTTGGCCACTTCTGTCCCCTCCCATAAATCTGCGTCCCCCCAAACTCTACAATCCTCCACGCCACCGTGAAGCCCTTGAGATGTGGCTCCAAGATGGAACCATCAAAAGGTTCCTGGAGCTCTGGGCGCCCATGGGGACATCGCAGGGTGTCACCCCCGTGTCACCCTGTCCCCGGCGTGTCCCCTCCCCACCTGGCGCTGCTCGACGCGGGTGCTGCCGTCCAGGCGCAGGTAGATGTGGCCGTGGTAGGTGAGGAAGCGCTCGAGGACGTCCAGCATCCGCGTCATCTGGGTGAAGATGAGGACGCGGTGGCACCCGGCCTTCAGGCGCCGCAGGAGGACGTCCAGCGTCTGCAGCTTCCCTGCAGGGGAGGGGACAGCGGTGTCACCCAGGGGCCACCGGTGTCACCGAGGCGGTGGGGATGGCAGTGGGGGTGCGGGGACATCGTGGGGACATCACGGGGACATGGGGACATCATGGAGACATCATAGAGACATCACGGGGGTATAGGGACGTCATGGGGACATCATAGAGATGACATGGGGACATTAAAGGGGACATGGGGACATCATGGGGACATCAAAGAGAATTTGGGGACATCATGGGGACTTGGGGACATCATGGGGACAGCAGCTGGGGTGTGGGGACATCATGGGGACATTAAAGGGAACATGGGGGGAACATGGGGACATCATGGGGACATGATGACATCATAGGGACATCATTAGGGACATGGCAACATCATGGGGACCTCAAAGAGAATTTGGGGACATCACGGGGACTTGGGGACATCATGGGGACATCTCTGGGGACATCAGTGGGGGCCAGGAACATCACGGGGACATCATGGGGACATTAAAGGGGATGTGGGGACATCATGGGGACATCATGGGGACATCAAGGGGACAGCAGTTGGGGCGTGGGGACATCATGGGGATATCATTGGGGACACGATGACATCATAGGGACATCATTAGGGACATGAGGACATCACGGAGACATCACTGGGGACATGGAACATCATGGGGACGTGATGGGGACATTAAAGGGGATGTGGGGACATCAGAAGGGACATGGGGACATCAGGAGGACATCATTGTCCCCAACACCCCCAACAGCCCATTGTCCCCCATGTCCCCATTGCCTCCAACCTCGACAACGCCCTCCTTGTCCCCAACGCCCTCCTTGTCCCCAACGCCCC